GTAGTAGTAGTAGTAATAGTAGTAGTAGTAGTACCAGTAGTAGTAGTAGTAATAGTAATAGTAGTAGTCGTAGCAGTAGTAGTAGTAGTAGTAGTAGTAGTAGTAGTATCAGTAGTAGTAGTAGTAGTAGTAGTAGTAGTAGTAGTAGTAGTAGTAAGATTTCAAACTCCCGTACAGGTTTGCGTACAAGCTAAAAGGCAAGGTTTGCCTATGTTTAACGGCGTAACATAACCGAAAAAATTAAAGATTGCAGAACGAATGACATGACAATTATTTTTGCTGATACATGAGAGATCAACTGGCTTCGCAAAACACCCTCCAATTGCGGGCGAGGGTTCTCGCACAGGCGACCCCCAGCCACAATGGTCAGAAGATGGCGATTTGGGTGCGGGTATGTTGATGCAAAATTATTCCGGGCGTATTCTGCCGCCATTCGGCCAATATCATATCCTACAACCATCAAGATCCGGAATCACTAACAGGCGCACGCAAACAACGACAGTTCCACCGTCGTTTCCAAGAATGCCACCGTGTGCCTCACAGCATGATGAAGCAGACACGGTGACTTGCGCGTGATTTATAGTGAATGCAGACTTGCTCAGCGTCTACCGCACTCTCTCCACCTCCAACCCTGGACCGGTGTCGAGACAGAGCGGAGGCGGGGGAGCGCACAGGTGTCTGACGCAGCGAAATCCCGCACCTATGCGTACTATCACACACCCTGGTCTACATAACAAATGACCAGGATTTCAACCAACAAAAACTACTGTACAACGGTTTAGAAGACGAAGATGACTGGACAGCCATGCTCACGGCCTTTATACCCAGCGGAAGCGCTAACACATCTACCAGCAGAGGACCAGGTGTCGAAGAAATGCCAGCGCATACCATGCTGATAGGGACATGGCTTGCTGATCCTGCCTTTACAGACGCCTACAGACCTTCACACAACACAGATGATCCACAGACGTGGTCTGCTAGACGGGGTACGCGCGATTCACTGAACGGACGCCCATTAGTGCATTGCCTGCCGTCATTATCTGACACTTCAGAGCGGATATTTATTAAGGCAGGGATGGAGGCAAGCTGGTTTATTTGTTTCCCAAAACTAACAAGTCCCCTTTCGTGTGGAAGGTGTCACAAACAGATGATCATCTTAAGAAGAATAAGATTCAATCGCAAGCAAAAGAATTTTATTGGCCTAACGTTTTGGATTCTCACTCGAACTTATTATTAGAGACAGCCGCGTGTGCGACTAACGGACGCATATTTTGTGAAGTATTCATATGACGCAATTCCCGTGCAACCACATTGCGTAGGATAATTTCCGCCATCTCACTTTATCGCTGAGAGCAGTGGATCATGAAAGGATTATCTGTTAGCCCGCACCTGAGTGGTTAATGTCCGTGATTTCATCCTGTCGTCCTACCCTATCCTGACGATCGCCGGACCATATGGCAAGCTGTCACTAGGCCTGTTGGTCGCCCGTTCCATCGCGTGGCAAATTACTCTGTTCACGCATAGCCGCAGTAAAGAATGTGGAGGCAAAAGGTCATTGTGTTTGTTACTTAGCATCGAGCCGGGGAACCTTGACGAAATTCGATCGCAGCTCACGCGAGTAAAAGGCAATTTCCTTGGCAGTCCTACGCCCTCCTCTTCCTGCACTGGCTACCGTCTCTGGTATCCAGTGCGTGACCGATCTCATAAAATGTTGAATGAAATTCCGAAATGCGATCCCAATTAAAGAGGATTACTCAGGCGCGGTTGTAATACTGATGACCATGCGGCCTAATCCTATAATATTTCAGACTTAACAGGATGTTAGATTTTGAGTTCACTAGGTCTTAATCCCCGTAGAAACCATATCGGTGAAAGATGACTACTTAAGGAGCAAGAACTTTTCCCATTGATTTTCGATGGTCTTGCAAATGCAAATATATTTTATAGAAAACATGAGTAAAAATTTGCTTTTTTCAGCCGTTTGATAGACATCCACGTCGTCTTTATACTTTATACTTGCGCAAGTACCGAACAGTCATAGAAGAAAGAAGGGCGGAGTGCACGACACTGCTCGGCGAATCAGTTACTGGGTGTCTTGACCGAATAATATCAACCGTGGCAAAAGCGAGACAGGAAATGAAACGCATGAATCTAGACCAAAAAGCCGTCAAATTGAAACCGGAAATCAATACCAACGAAAATGTGGTACACAACTTATCGTCGAAGAAGTTAAACGAAACGGAACTCAGAGTGTTGAGCCACGAAGCCAATTTTAACACTGCTGATGCCACCCCAGCCGACTTCATTGCCGCACTTGAGGCCATGTTAGTACGAACTAACGCAAGCGAAGAGGCTAAACACACGGTGCGCCAAAATGTTACCTCTCTCCTGATGACGAACAGGCACGCTAGCAATATGTCATCCGCAGAAATAGAAGCAATGAAGAGATTAAAAATGAACAAAGATATTATAGTGCTACCGGCCGACAAAGGAAGAGCAACAGTTGTGATGAACCGCGTTGATTACAACGAGAAGGCACAAGCTCTCCTGGGCGACCAACAATCCTACAGGTCCGCACCCGCCTCGCAGGCCAAATCGATGATTGGCCAGCTGACTGGACTCTTAAGCCGACTCCGGCGCAACAATGTAATCTCGCTGTACGAATGGCGCCAGACAAAACCAACCGACACGACGTTGGCCAGATTCTATGTACTACCAAAAATCCACAAACCCAACGTTCCTCTGCGGCCAATCGTTGCCCTAAAAGGCAGCCCCATATACCATTTAGCCATATGGATGGCACGAAAGCTCAATTTTCTCCGAGAGGGCTCTGTGACGTCCGTCAATTCGGCCTCCAGATTCCTTGCCGACATTCAAGGAAAAACTATTCGACCCGACCAAATCATGGTATCCTTCGACGTTGTCTCACTTTTCACGTCCATCCCACCAGACTTGGCGCGCGACGTGCTACGCAAACGTTTTGAGGAAACGTACGACGAAACGACAGGGCCGCTAAAGATCCAGAACCTAATGCAGCTCTTTTCATTCTGTCAACGAACCTTTTTCACCTTCGATGGCAGAACATACGAACAAATCAAAGGAACACCCATGGGTCCTCCAATATCCAGCCTAGTTGCGGAATTGGGCCTACAAGAGCTGGAAAAGGTTGCTTTTAGCCATTACAAACCTACGTTTAGCCGCCGATACGTGGACGATACATTCGTCATTATTGAAAAGAACAAGCTATCGGGTTTTCAAGACTTACTCAACAACATATTTTCCGACATTCAGTTTCCAAGGGAAGACGAGGAGGACGAGAAACTACCCTTCCTGGACGTGCTCGTCACGCGCACACCTGACGGTGAACTCAGCAGTACAGGGTACAGAAAGGCGACCAATACAACCCATGTACTCAAATATCATAGCAACCACCCATTCGTGCACAAACGGGGCTGTGTGAGGGTGTTTTTCGACCGTGTAAATAGGCAATGTAGCGAGCCCGAAGGAAGGATGCAAGAATTACGGCATATCCGGGACTAATTAAGAAAGAACGGCTACCCAAATAGTTTTATCAGTCGCTGCATACGCGCGCACCCACGCCGGACAAACGAAAGAGAGACCAACAATTTGGCACTCCCTACCGTACATAAAGAATGTGTCCGAGGCTACGGAACGCATCGCGTCAGAGCTAGGCGTGGGCATCTCTCATTATCCGGCGGCCACCATGCGTAGCACGATCATGAAAATGAAGGATCGGCTGGACGCAAGTCAACAATCGGGCGTAGTCTATCGAATCCCGTGCCAAAACTGTCCTTGCCACTACAAAGGCCAGACAGGACGACGTCTCAGCTCGCGAATACTTAAGCACAAACGGGCCGTTCAGAGAGGCGACCCACTATCTGAAGTAGCCACTCACACGCTGGAGGAAGGGCATGAGTTCGACTTCGCCAACACGCGGATATTGGCGCGAGCCGGCAACAAGACAGGGCGAGAGCTGTTGGAGGCGTGGGTGTCGGACACCAACTCAATCAACAGACACATCGATTTGCCCACGCAGCCAGGTGGCACAACTTACACCGTCGCGAAATACAAACGGCGTCACCACGCCGGGGGAACATCGTGGACCAGGCGGCACAAACCCTACCTAGCCACGGACGTACTCCCCCTCCCCCCCCCGCAAGGATGAACGACATAAATGTTCACCATTTGCTACACTCAGGTAGTCTCTGATTATGAACTCTAGTTCGAGTTCGAAAGCTCAGGCAAATAAACCTATTGTCCCAGTGATCGTGCCTTCGCTTTCTTTTAAACAAGAACCTGGGATGCGCATATTCTCCTTCATCCGTGGACTCCATAATATTTTGCAATAGATGCGGCTATGTTGTGCATTTCATGATAAGCAGTGGTCAACGGACAGGTTCGGTTCTATATGAATGGGCATTACGCAGTATTATAAAATCTCATAATTAGAAACTTTTTAAAAGTCTCATTATATTACGTCTCTGAGTATAAATTATAAAGAAGACGTGATTCTATATCGAAAAATTGTAAGAAAGCATATTTTTGACCATGGTTTTTATAAAATATATTTTTTACTTGTAAGACCATCGAGAATAAATTGGAAAAGTGCTTGCTCCTTAAGTAGTCACTTTTCCCCGACTACGGTTCCTACAGGGATTAAGACCTAGTGCACTCAAAAGCTAACAACCTGACCAGTCCTAAATATTATAGGATTATGCCGCATGACAATCAGTATTACAACCGCGCCTAAGTAATCCTGCTAATTGAGAACGCATTTCATAATTTCAGTCAACATTTCACAAGACCGGTCGTTAACAGTAAAAACAGATTTCCACACTTAGCAGCTGCCACACACTTGATTTTTGTGTAATCTGACGACTCTACAACCCACCTCAAGCCTGGGCTCACTGCCGTAAGACAGGATTGTCGGGACGCAACAGTCTGTTAGGGTAACTTTCCGTTCTCCACATGAGAAAAGAACCAAATTGCAATAATTTTTATATGCCTTTTATATAACTATATTGTGGAGTGTATTCAGACGACTTATTTCGCCGTCACTATCCCACCGACCTCTTTTGTGCATTAAGTGCGATATTAGGCAATATTCCTCAACTCTAAAACCCTATGATATTAATTACTCATGCCATCTATGCCCTTCTGTGGGTAGTATTCAAGTTTTCATTTGCCCCCGGGGTTCAGTGAGTATAAAAACAGGCTAAAGTGGTTGGCGATTCTGAGTCCATGCGTAACCATGAGGGAGGTCAATTTCGCGCTTCTCGGGGACTCAATGCTAGGAGGCTGGGAGCTTCAGTGGGGCGTCCAAAGGCTTAACCCGACGGCCAACTGCTGACCAGAAGTCGCGCGCGTTTAGTGCTACCAGTTCAACACTTCATCAGGCACGTGTCAACCGTCGTCGTACCGTACTATGCGAGGGACACCGCCTTAGGACAAAACAGCTTTTCTTTTTTGCCAAAGGCGATGCAAACTGTCGTGAGTAGAAGTCTAGATACGCTAGCTTTAAAGTGTGACAATTCAGGTGCGACAGTCAGAAGCAATCGACGCTTGACCCAACACATCCTGTGAAGTTATCAATACGTAGGAATTAATCGAATAAATGCCGTTTTCCGTGTTCTCTGCGGACCAATAAGTTTAACTCGATTTATGGTCAGCTTCTAATGCCTGATTCCGGCCAAGCAGGTCGTTTGTTTTCAAGAACAACTTGTGGCATTTCGATGTAAGTATTTTTGTCTGTCTGCGATCGCAAGGACCGTAAATAGCAAATAAGCTGTAACCTGAGCTGCATTTTTGCAGCCTAACTAGACAGAAATATGAGGAGATCAAATTTTCCACAACCCCGCCCCACAGTCAGCGACGGCAGTTAGTAATTTGGGGAGGAGGGAGCAGAGTCCTTGACAGGACTTCCAGAGGGTGGCACGTTGAGGGGCGCTTAATTCCGGCCCTGAGCGATTTAGCGTTCCTACTGGTCGGTAGTATCAAATGACAAAAAGTGTTCTTTGGACGATCATTCATGTCGCAAGGAAAGCATATGCTACTAATATGAAAGGTGTGCATTCGCCCCAAGGTGTCTACAGCTTACTGAGCAGTAAAAAAGTACTGACGTTGTATGCCCGGAGGCGATAAATTAGCTGCAAATGAGAAATCAGAACGAGGTTTTGTTGACTTTTTTAGGGGACATTACAAACACTATATTTAAGCATTAAAATGTAGGCCGATGTCTTGGGACTCACATAAACAAGCATAAGTTGGCCCTCTGCCAACGTGACCCTCTGTCTCTCGTGTTTGCGCACGCTCTTGAGTAAGAGCACCGCTTCAATTGGGAAGGTACTGGCAAACGCAAGGACTTCACAAAGCTTGGCATTCTTGGTTTTCTTTCGCCCCCACTAACTTGTTCCCACGCCTTAACAACCGTCAATCCCTACTCGGCCACGTAGAATGTGGTTGTCTCCCCACTTCCACCCCCTTACTACACGGTGAACAACAATCGGAATTCCTAACACCTCCAACGCCGGCGATCTGCCCCCTGACCTCATCTCCCATCGATGATCAGCCGACCTCATTCCCACTGATCCGCAAAGCCTCCGCTCCGCCTCCTCCTCCACCTCCAGCACAGTGAGCCCTAACGGTTCCCTCTTCGCACCCCCTGTCCCAAAGCTTACTATAAATCGGTGCCCAGTTCTCTCACTCATCAGCTGTCTGTCTCTCGTTGTCTGTCCTGTCGCGCCAATCGACCTAGTCTGCCGATCTCACTTTCTCTCGTGCTCATTTCGTCTGACGACTGGTTGGTGTTACCAACTTGAAAATTAACGAGTACAACTCGATTTTCAAAAGAGCCTTCTCTTTTTCGTTAAAATAAGTCGCAAAAACATAATACTGAGGTTATTTTTTGCCAAAGGCGAACAGGTTGAGTCGACCGAATATCAAACAGAAGTTGGCGCCTCGGAGTGAGTGGATTAACACTGCGTGCCGAACAAATTTAGGCATGGCGGTCAGCGCCCAGTGCTGTCGTTTAATGATATTACACACATGCAAAGCTCCCCGGCAAGATCTTATATCGTAGCCGTACCTGTTAGGGGTTAGAGTTAGGGCTCGGGGTTAGGGGTTAAGATTAGGGATTTGGGCCAGGGATCAGGGCTGAGAGTAAGAATTATGTTTATGGGTTTATAGGTTTCTACTTCAGGCACGGCTTCCCTGGTCGATGGCTTTTGCAATAAAAGTATTGTACACATGACTGAAATATGAAAACTCGTGTCATTTTTGAAGTTGTTTAAATAAGTACCACTTTTTTGTTTCATTCTTGATCAAATACGATTATGGATTGTTATGTTTCCAACAATATTGCTGTTCGCGCTGGATTGAAGCTTATATGCAGATGCTTTTCATGGCTCAGGAAACGGATGAGTCGCTTGAATTAACCAAATTTGAAAGCACTATGTTTTTTGAAGCAAGCATACACAGCAGAATTTACTGGAAGCAACACATTTCAAGACGGCTTATCAACTGCACCCTGTCGCTGCATAACAAAGATGACGAAGGAGAAAGGTATGGTAATTTTAACTTCCGCAGATAAAATCAATACAAAATAGCGTGGTCATCGCTCAGTGCAGGCAAACTAATCAATAAAAGCGGTAACTTAAAAACCCAACTTGGGAAAGAAAATGGGGGAGTTAGCACGCAGAGGTGGTGTGCAAATCAAAAAGGCAGAGATTTACTACGGAAAACTGAGTTTGACCACGCGGTTTAACAGACTGCACAGGTCGGGTTTTTCCCACCGTATGTAGGCTGCCTCCAAGTAGCACAATAGCCGAGTTGTTCGTGCCCGGACTAATACCCATAAGGCTGCTTCAAGGTAAACGGAGCGACTGCTGTCTAGGAGGTGCTTTATGATGAAAGAACGAGAAATTTCATTTTCCTGCTTTAGAAGCCATTTAGGCAAGTTTTCAACTGACCTGGCTGCCACTTGCATCTGTGATCTCCCAATGTACTTTCATCCACAAGTGCATGTGAATTCATAAACACAATTTGACGTGGCATACAACGACAAGAAATCCTTCGCCCGTGGAACTGGGATAGTCTTAATGGGGCTGAGGAATATGAGTTCGACAGCGTTGTATGTTGTTTCAGTGGCGCATCTCAATCGTTGCTTGGTGGTATTTGACATGCTGTCATTCATTAAGAGTAAAAATATCACAACGGGCTTTTTTGGAACTTACTTTTTCGTCAATGTTGTCCGTAATGTGATACTGTTCTGTAATCTACTTACGCACAAAAGAATGTGACTCTATTTTCTGAGTGTTAAGTTTAGGCCTGGAACTCGAACGCATCATTTCCCCTGAGCTCTTAAAAAACCAGGGGACTTTGGGCGACACTTTTTTTCTCGCATGTTACCACACTCCCATGTCAGCGTCTGCAGTCTAGCCCGCACAGGCAGCACATTTTTAGCGCATCTCGACTCGATTCAAATTAGATATATGTTTGCATGTTGCAATCCTCCTTCCGAGCTCAGCCAAAAGTAAATTTGTCAGTATAGTGTTGAATAAACTAACTCCGCCTCAGGGAAGTGCGGCAGCAGAAGGCTTTTCAAATCCTTGCAAGGGAAATTCGCTTAACTCGATTTACTGGCCGTTTAGGTGCTCAAGTTGGACACCGATTCACCGAAGAGGGGACTGATCCGTCTAACCCCCTCTTCACCAATCTGTTACTCCACTTTCTTTTCCGGAGTTTTGTTATTCCCGACAGTATATCACTCTTCTTCCCCTTCAACACCTGAGTGACAAGACGAATCCCTTGGGAACTGCCCAGGTGATTGTCTGTAGTAATTACGAATCCATGAGTGATAAACAGGAGGACGCTATCAGTTCTTTGGAATCTGTTAACCTATGCTAGCAGTGTTTTAGGTTGACAGAAGGCAATATCTCACATTTTGCCGTAGCTTTCTTTCATCGTCTTTCAGTTACACAGTATATCAGATTTCATGTTACGACTGTCCCCGTCATTATGCAGGCCAAACAGCACGGAAACGTAGTTCACGCATAAGCGAGCATAAATGGACAGTAGAAGCACTAAGAAGCTAACCTCGCTGTTGCATGAGTCATTGCAAATGACGACAATAAAAGAGAGTGAAAATAGCTGGAGACCTGGGTCAAAGAACTTTTGGCATTTTTGCTACCAGGTCCTACGCATACGTGATCAAATGGCGCTACTCCGGTTCTACTTGAGGGTTCCCGCTTCGTGAGAACATGAATGGTGGACAGCAAGAGTCCAGCTCCGGCCAAGAACACACGCCGGTCGGACTTTGAAACTATTACTGTGTTAGTAGAAAGGAGACGGAAGAAGATACAACTAGACATATTTCGTCTCTTAATCTGCAGTTTGAAAAATTGTTAACTTTTATGTGCACCATGCCCGCTTTCTTGGATTATGACCTCTCCTTAAATTTAGGGAAATTGTTGGAGTATTGATAGGTGGTCTTACTTCTAATCAATCAAAGACTATGTTACCCCGATGCTCCTTCACGTCATGCGACCCTATATGAGGCCTCGTCCGGTATAAGAGGGTATGTGTAACCAACGCCGAAGAACTGCCCCCAGACCTCATCCCGCTTCGATGATCAGCCGACCTCATTTTCACTGATCCGCAAACCCCCGCTCCTCCTCCTCCTCCTCCTCCTCCTCCTCCACCACCACCACCAGCTTCATCTTTCGATGAATCGCATTCCACTGCATACAAAAGCGCAATGAAAATGCGGAGCCTTCTTTTCCGGATACCGAAAACACTAATTTTTACTCTTAAAAGGATCGTATTGCCACCATGTCCGTCTTACCGGAGGCCACGCTACGTAGTCAAAGTGTGGGCAGGACGTCTGTCATGGCAGGAGACGCCTGGAGTCATTTATCGGATTTGGTGCAGTTGTAAACATGGTAACTACCTAGGAGAAACCAGGAGATAACTCGGAACACGCATGAATGAGCAACGCAGCAGCGGTGACAAGGAAAGACGCCAGCTCACAGATGACAGCTCATTTCACAGAACATTGCCATATTTTCAAGTTTCATGAGGCCGAAATCCTCGTAAGAGCTGACACCTGTGTGAACTGCGAGTTGCTCGAATCATGGTGGTCAGCTCAACAATCCATCAACAAGCACAATGACCTCCCGGTACCATATTCGGTTCTGAGACATTGCCTGGGGAGGAGAATCAGTCACGTGTGCAGGGCCCATGCGAGCAAGAATTCCGGCAACAACGGGTCACACTGCCGAGCCATCGTCGCGCCAATATCCAACACGGATGACAAAATTGCGACAATTAGCAACTCGGACGCGGACTAGCGAGTCATCATTGCCCTTATTTCGACCCCCAGCGGTGATCACGAGATCTGCTAATTATACTACGCATGTGGCCCCACGGAAGCTACGTAGTGTAAATACTGCAGTCTTTGTGTCTCCACTACCTTTACCTGCAACCGTCTCTGATAATGGGTTGGAGTGAGAATTTGAAAATTCGGGCCAATAAGCTTCTTGCTTCAGTGGTCACATCTTCTTCTGAACTGATCCTGGAACCCATCTGCTCGCTTCTGTCGGTAGTACACTTATCTGTTTTCAATCCCACCTCCAATATCAGCGGCAGTCTCGGGGCTGAGAAGGTTCTCTTGAAAATCTCAGTTTAGATTACGGGGCAGTGTAACGGTATTTGTACCACCCGAGGATAATCGTCCTGTTCGCCCCGAACTTTATCGAATTCGGGTGCGAACCGGCCAAAGCTTGCCGAAGACCCTGGTTCACGCTATGTAAGGCAAGTTCCGAACCCTGGTTAGTTTATATTTCAAGGAGGACTACTCGATGAATATATAGGAAAACATTGATGAAGAAGGAAACACGGTCATCGGGACAACAACAAAATTCGCCTGACCATTCGGATTCCTGCCTGAACATGATTGGTGTAGAGCAAGAGTCCAGCTCCGGCCAAGAACACACGTCGGTCGGACTTTGAAACTATTAGTGTGTTAGTAGAAAGGAGACGGAAGAAGATACAACTAGACATATTTCGTCTCTTAATCTGCAGTTTGAAAAATTGTCAACTTTTATGTGCACCATGCCCGCTTTCTTGGATTATGACCTCTCCTTAAATTTAGGGAAATTGTTGGAGTATTGATAGGTGGTCTTACTTCTAATCAATCAAAGACTATGTTACCCCGATGCTCCTTCACGTCATGCGACCCTATATGAGGCCTCGTCCGGTATAAGAGGGTATGTGTAACCAACGCCGAAGAACTGCCCCCAGACCTCATCCCGCTTCGATGATCAGCCGACCTCATTTTCACTGATCCGCAAACCCTCGCTCCTCATCCTCCTTCTCCTCCTCCACCACCACCACCTTTACCTTTCGATGAATCGCATTCCACTGCATACAAAAGCGCAATGAAAATGCGGAGCTTTCTTTTCCGGATACCGAAAACACCAATTTTCATTCTTAAAACAATCCTATTGCCACAATTTATGTCTTACCGGAGGTCACGCTACGTAGTCAAAGTGGCGGCATGACGTCTGTCAGGGCAGGAGACGCCTGGAGTCATTTATCGGATTTGGTGCAGTTTCAAACATGGTAACTACCTAGGAG